TAAAAGTACGCCAAGAAAAGGCGCTCTCAAAAAAAAAACGGATCTGACCTGGTTGCTGTAATCAAGTTACAGGCAAAACGACATGTTTCTTAATTTTATAAAAATCCCACAGTTTCTACCCTGCGTCCGTGGGATAATGAAGACTGCGGTGGCCTGTAATCGATTTGGGGCTACTCATTTAAGTACTCTTCATTCAAATGCTCGCCTTTTGTCAAGTTTCGAAATGGGGTTTTGTAACAAAGTTGCAAATTGCTGTTTTACTATTATCTCACGCAGTTCCCAAAGCTGCATCTTTTAAGGAGCTGCGGGTTACACCGCCCAGACGTTTTGATTAGGTTTTTGTGTAGTTTTTTTTTTAGAATATTTTTATTATACGTTTTCTGCTGTTTAATAGCAGTACAAAACGCATACTGTCACAGGGTTGTCTGTCTGTGTTTGTTTGTGTGTATGTGTGTGTGTGTTCGAGTGCGTTTTGTCCCACGTTTTCAACCACAAAAGCTGGGAATCTGAAATTTTAGTAGATTGTTCCCCTGCCCACGTGTGACCAGCAAATTTAATTCGGCTTGAATTACCCGCGGGCACCACGTATGACCCGCCAAGGTTTTCGTGGGGGAATTGTTATCTTGGGAACCACAAAAGCTGGGACAATAAAATTATGGTGAAATGTTCTCCTCCTAAATTTGACCACGCAAACTTAAATTTGGCCTTCAGTTACGCGCGACTACTACGTATGAGCCAGCCAAAGTTTTGAAGGGCAAAATTATGATCTCGGGAACTGTAAAAGCTAGGAAGCTGAAATTTCAAAATAATGTGTGCCGCCTACATACACCCGCAAATTTAAATTCGGCTTTCCCATGCACTCAGGTATCACTTGTGACTCCCTGGAAGTTTTGGCGGGGAAATTATTGCCTCGTTAGTCACAAAAGCTAGGGAACTAAAATTATACGGCAATGCCCCTGCCCAGATACAGCTCCACAACTTTAAATTCAATTTTCCCATAGGTTTGGATAACGCGTACGACCTTGTGAAAGTTTTGGTAGGGAAGTTATTTTGGGAATCACGAAAGCTGGGAAGCCGAATTTTTAGGTTATTGTCCTCTGCCCATATGCAATCCTGCAAATTCAAATCCAGCTTTTACGCATTCCTGGGTCTCAACGTCCTTGTAAATTTTTTGATGGGAAGAATTATTACCCGGAAGCCAGAAGAGGTAGGAGGCTGAAGATTTTGCGTGGATATTTTCTGCCTACTCAGTGACCACACAAACTCAAATTTAATTCCAAAGTATGTCGAGGTCTCAAGCACGACTATGTAAAAGTTTTGGCTCGAAAATCACTCAAAAGCCAGAAAATTAAGGGATTGATTTTGGAAGGATGTTTACTGTACAAGGCTTTAGTAGGAAATTCCGCAATTTAGGAACCGAACAGTATTTCAACCATATGTGCAGAGATCAAAATGAAAAGCAGTGAAAATCCTTAGCAGGCAAACGTTCGCTGGAAGGAACCGCGCACCGACTACCTTGCTGCGCGCCGCTACTTATTTTTTATAAATTAAAAAAATAAGTGTTCGACGCATATCAGAGAGAGGGAACAGAGTTTATTTTAAAAACATTTGCTACCACTAGGGTAGTAACCTGAGTGCTAGTAAATACCGACGACACCCATCCGCTAGCAAGGCTGTTGATGCCCCCTCTTTCGTGAATTGCTTACAGGCAAACTATTGACGGGTTTGTCGTACTGACATATGTCAATTCCAATCTACCATCAAAACGAATGAACGAATCACAGAAAGGTTGGCTATGCCACCGGCAGAGCCAAACCCTCGTGCCATGTCTGTCAGCGTGGAAACAAGTAGCACAGGAGAATGTCAATACTTTAATCACTGATATTACAGCGATCACAATGACGCGCAGGAATCTCTTCGCTGTACTTTTTACAGTAACAATCTTCTGCTTCTGCAAAAAAAACTTAGGAGAAGGCGTACCGGTTGCCGGTACGAGGATGCGTTTTTTGCACAGTTTGCCTCGCAGGTTTTTTTCGCCAGTGGCACGTTCTTCCTGACAGATGTTTCTAGCTAAAAGAATTGGGACTGTTGGAATCTATTGGAAATTATTACAATGACTCCCAATCCATGCCCAAAAAATCCAGCGCTCTGGATGCTTCGGTTGTAGAGTCACGTCAAATTTTACGTGTTCGTACGTGAGTGGCAACGTGAATGCTTTCTTCGCCCGCAGTTGCTCAAACACTGTCTTGGGCAGCGCTCAGAAAGTTTCAGCACTCTAGCTGCTCTGGTTGCAGAGTTACGTCAAATTTCACGTGATCGTACGTGAGTGGCTAAGTGAATGCTTTCTTCGCCCGCAGTTGCTCAAACACGGTCCTGGGTAGCGCTCAGAAAGTTTCAGCACTCTAGGTGCTTTGGTTGCAAAGTTGCGTCAAATTTCATGTGTGTACACGTGAAGTGTACGTGACACGTGAAAGTGATGTGTAAATCGTTTTACGTGCGTTTGGCCAAAGGTCACCGTTGGTTGTGCTCAGAAAGTCCAGGTCCTCTGGCTGGTTCAATTCTGAAGTTACAAAAGCGCGTGCATGAAATT